ATTTTTGAGAATTTAGTAGCAGGAAAACATTGTTTATTCTAATGAACTGATAAATATCTCTTCTTCTTCCTTATGATGGTAAGTAATTATGTTTTTCTTTTTGCTTTGGCAGCTAGAAATCTCAAAGACAAATTTGAAATCCAATCACAGTGTCGTGTCGACTGTAACACTTCATAAATTTTAGTTCTTATCTCTCTCTACATTTCTTAACTTTGTATTTTATTTCGTTATTTAATTTTTAATAATATCATTTTATCTGTATACAATTCAAGTACCTGAATCCATTGTAGAAATAGATGAGGTACAAAGATATAACTAAACCAATAAATCAAAGGAACACTTTCCTGATATTGTATAAAGATCATAAAGCTCAAGGTTAACTTTAAAAGGCTTTGTGGTAAGCTGTTCTAAATAAATGGCAGAGGTTATTCCATAAGTTCTACTACCCCTTGTAGATTTATTTGCCCATGAAGGACAGAGAATATTGACCGCTCAATGCTGAATACACTGTCGTGCACTTATCCAGTCATTCATCAATAAACCAAATAAATCAACACTTACTGAGTGAACACAGTGTGCTAGACGTAGTCTTAAAACGTAACATGGTAAACGTTTTCTAGTATCAGCTGAGTGTGGTGGCCCATGCCTGTAATCCTAGCCTCCCAGAAGCTGAGGCAGGAGGATCACTTGAGCTCAGGAGTTCAAGACCAGCCTGAGCAAGAGCAAGACCCCATCTCTACTAAAAATAGAAAAATGGGCCAGGCTCAGAATGCTGAAGCAAGATTACTTGAACCTAGGTGTTTGGGGTTGCTGTGAGCTAGGGTGATGCGATAGTACTCTAACCCTCTAACAGAGTGAGACTCTCTCTCTCAAAAAAAAAAGGTTTCTAATATAGTACATTATAGCATGAGAAATGTACTGAAGCAATTTTCCAGTCACCTAGCTGTGGAAAACCATCCCATCCACTGGCGTGTTAGAACAAGAAGAAAGCATATGAACTACTAATCTGAAATAATTTTTAGAATATTGACATCTAAGACAAAAGGGAAAAGAATACTGAGATGCATGAGTTAGTCAAGAGGAGTTTCGATGAATCATGTTGAAGCTTCAAAACTGATTTTCACCTGCATCTACTAAAAATAATTCTCTAATTAAAACTTATTTTCATATGTTGGCATTTTCAAAATATATTATTCATTGCTGACTTTTCCTTGTACTCAATTTAATATGTTACTGGTGCCCTTAGAGCAATACCTGTATAATTTCCATGGCAATTACTTTAAGCATTACCTGCCACCATCCCTGACAAAGAACAAAATTTTAAATATCACCTTCCTCAGATTCTATAAGAAAGGAGTATACTGAAAAGAAATAAAGGGCATGTCACTCTCATGGCAAGGGGCTTTGATAGAAAAATATTAGGACAAATTCTCTAGCCCACTCCATCTGAATGATCATCGTCTTACAGCCTTGCTACCAACATTGCATCTCCCTTTCTCTCTCTTCGGGACATGAGCTTGGCTCTATGTAAACCTCACTTGCTGGAAGACAAGATTGAAAAAAAAGTGAACCTATTCTAGTTCTTTTATTTCTGATCTCAATTCTCCATTCTTGCTTATATTAAATTCTTTTTAAGAGTGAAAATATAGGCCGGATGCAGTGGCTCACACCTGTAATCTCAGCACTCTGGGAGGCTGAGGTGGGTGGATTGCTTGAGCTCACAGGTTCAAGATCAGCCTGAGCCAGAGGCAGACCTTGTCTCTAAAAATAGCTGGGCACTGTGATGGGCGCCTGTAGTCCCAGCTACTTGGGAGACTGAGGCAAGAGAATCACTTGAGCCCACGAGTTTGAGGTTGCTGTGAGCTGTGATGCCATGGTCCTCTACTGAGGGTGACAAAGTGAGACTCTGTCTCAAAAAAAAAAAAAAAAAAGAGAGAGAGAGAGAATATAGAAAAATAAATGAAATGTGAAAATGAGAACATCAAGATAAGATATGATATAATGAGATGGCATGAATGACAAAGTATTAACTCTATTTTAATATTTTGTTTCTATGTAGTTTAAATATTTCTATCTAAAGGAAGGTGGATTTGTTTTTATTGGGTGAAAAGAATATGAACTATTTCCTTTAGTGACAGCGCTGGAAAGATTCTCAGAGACAATCTGGACAAACCAAAAGGGAGGTACATGACAATTCTTCCTTCTTCATGCACACAATTGTCAGAAGTATCTTTTAAAAAAGGGAAAGTCATCCAAAGGCATTTGTATTAAATGAGAAATACAGACTAGACGTCCAGGCATCTTTTGTTCATTAAAGACATTTCTATAAATGAACTGAAATTTTATCAATTTATAGATGTAAAGTTTAAAGAAGTATTAGACACTAACGACAGCCTTGCCTCTTAGCACTAAAGCAGAGACAGTTACCCACAGCCCTTCAAATGGTGCCCAATACTGTTCAATAATGTTACCTATCTACATGGCGATTAGGAGTTGGCTTAAAAGCAACGGCGGCTTCCCCTTGGTCCAGATGGGGCCCTCTCGAGTAAATGTTGTTACTGAATGCATATCCATCACCTGGGGGATACTCTGATGCGCTGGAATGCTGAAAGACAGAGTGAGACAGATGAAAGACTCGCCAAATACTGTGTGAAGCCTCACGTCAACCAACAAGAACCTGTCCACTGTATTGTGATCAGTATTCATTTCCAAGTGACTGATCGTTATGTTAGTGAGTTATGAAATGACAGTAATACATTTATGTCAAAGACACACTTACATTAGGAAAATTCATTAATGGAGAGGCTGAATCCTGCTCTGTGTTTTTAAAAAACCTTCACCAATCTAGCAAAGTAAACACTGTCACAAGAAAATCAACTGAACTCCCTGCATTAAAATTATACAACCCTCTCGTTTTCTCATTTTTAAAATTATGGTATTATTATTACAAAAAACTATGGTATTTTTCAAATTTTACAAAACAGCAGTGCCATTATCATATTTACTGTCAAGGGAAACAGAGAAAGATACAAATACACGGATCTTGAGGGTCCAGAGTCCAAGATAAGAATGCTGGAGTCACTTCTTTTCAGCTGTTAACACACTGCAGACATGAGCCTACTGGGTGCCACCAGGAGGAAGGGCTGAGGTCTTCAGATCCCAGTGAGCACCGTGGTTTTAAGGCTATAGAAACTACTTCCTCAAACTGGGAGAAAACAATCAGAAGACATTAGCTGAAGATTTCTTATTGCTTCTTTATGTAAAAGCGAAGTGTGAGAGAAGCCTGATTGATACCAAAGCATTTGAATTCTGGGGGTATTTCAATTGTTTACGGCTTCATGGTGGCAAAATATTTGAAACAGGGTTGTTTCAGAAAAGGCTTGAATATGTAGTTACTATAGTTAATCTAATGACAAAGTTGGCAAGCATAGGGCTGAATTTATCTATACCCAGACCAAGTGACCAGTGTTGATGTCAAAATACCCACATTATATGAGTCCTCTGAAATATACATCAGGATACTGCACTTAACTCACAAATACAATAAACATTTTTCATGCACTTAAATACCTGAGCTCAATTAATTCAATTTATAACTTCACTATCAGAAAGAAGAGTCACTTAATTTGATAGGTAATTTTTTACCAGAGGCTGTTCTAGAGGGGGAGTGCCAGAAACTGCTAGAACCACCACCCTTTTGCTTAGCACTGAACAGAACAGGGTGAGGTCAGCCAGGATGAGATCACTGGGCCCTGAGACTGACAGGGAACACTAGAAGGGAGGAGACAAATGATGACAATGACTAAGTGTGATGACTACACGCCCTGCGCAGGGCCGCTTCTGGGTCAGAGGAAGTAAAGCAGCTGAGTTCGGCGCCCACACCTGCCACTCCACTCAACTACATCCCTTCACTTCTAAACAAAACCACCAGATCCTGAATCGCTTGTCTTGTAAATGTATTTATTATAGTGGCAGTAAAGTATCATAAAATCTCTTCTAGGAGTAATTACATTTTTTATGCGTTTTAAATCACCATTTCTTGGCCTCTTTTCCAACAAAATCTCAAGGCATAAAATCCCCTAGAACTGTGAGCATGTGATTTTCATTTCACTTCTTAAGCCTCTGAATATCTACTCGAGCCATTAAGTGAAAAAACAGTTTACAACAGGAAAATGGTTAAGTCATTACAAGTAAGGATTCTCAACAATTCCTCTTTTAAAATCACTTATTCCATGAGCGGAGGCAAACTTTTATCCTGGAAGCCCAGAACACATTACTCTCACCTTAAAATCCCAAATTGAAAAAGTACTCAGAAAAGCGAATTTCCAAGGCATGCATCATGAAGTGAACAAATTTTCTTTTTTAAGATATGAAGACTATAAACTGGAAATTTTATTTGAAAACAGTCAGTGTACTATAACTACAGCAATAAGTATATCAAAATATCATATATAACTACATATTTTTCCTCTAAAAATGTTACCCTCCACATGGAAATAAAGCCTAAACTATAAAACACGCAGGAACATTCGCTTGCCAACCGATGCTTAGAGCGGTGAGGTCACCTTCTTATTACGCATTTGCAGGAAAGGGCCATATGGAATCTACGTCCTTACATACAACCTGGGGTGGGAGGGTGTAGAAATTACACTAGAAAAAAATATATTTCAAAGCAATATATATGCTTTATTTTTAAAGTTTCAGGAATTCGACTCATCTATTTGTTATTGTCCAAAGAACAGCCCTGAAAGGAATGATTTTTAAAATTTTAATGTAGACACATGTTTCTCCCTAAAAGTGGTCACAAAATGTGATCTACCATGGTTTGCTAATTCATTACTTGAGATCATGTTTCTACCTTATAAATACCTATGTCAGTCTGAGAAAATTAAGGAATTAAAGAAAATGAGTAGGACTGTGGAAGGATGTAGTCATCATTTACTGTCTCTTCTTCAAATTAAATTTCATCCATCCTCAGGTTCTGATCATCCTATTTATGTTTGGTTCAACTTTAATCAATGTTTAATCCTCTTTTCTAAAAGAAGAGTCATATAAAAATAATTTTTAAGGAACGTGACAAGATAGGATAGCCAAATTCATTCTCTCAATTTGCTCCCCAAATTGGTTATACTCTAAAGCTTTTTAAATACTTAAAAGAAAAAATAAATTTTTATGATCTGAAGATGTTATGGTGTTATACGTCATTTGAGCCTGAGAACTGGAGTCCAGAAAAGTTTTGGTCCTCTAGCCAGGCTGACAGGACTTCAGAGAGAACTAGGCAAAATAGAGAAGGAGAAAGGCAGAGAGAGAGAAGAGAGAGGAGGAGGGAGAAAAAGAGAAAAAAGAAAAAGCAGGGAAGGAGGGAGGGAGGGGAAGGAGAGCGAGCTGCCTGAGACAGGCTTAGAAGATCAAGGTTCAGGGAACTGTCTCAAAGGTCTGACAATGAGAGAGGAAACAGAAGAATCAGCCAAGGGGCAACAGAACAAATCACTGACAAAATGAGAAAGTACATTCTCAAAAAGACTTAGGATCCTCAGGGTCAAGAGAGCAGCAGCAGCGGGGGTAGGAGTGATGCAGGGGAACAACAGGGGCTGGGGTTGGGCTTTGCTCAGGAAAAGAGCAACTGACCCAAACATGACAGAGGTGAGAGAGAAGGGATAACTCAGGGAAGAGTAACACTCAGTCTTTGATTTGACCAATCTTCAGATCAATAAAAGGAAAACTTGTGGTTGTAATGAATTATAAGAGAATGCACAGATTACTGTGCTATGTACTGTGCCCCTATACCCTCAACAATTAGGATCCAAAATGACCCTCTTTTCGTGTTAAGAGCTAGTATTTTTCCTTCTGATGGTTATTAATTTTCTTATTTTGAGGTAAGGCCCAAAACAAAGGTGAGGTGGTGCTAAAATCCTTACCTCGGTGGATGACCTCTTCATCTCCTGTTTACGCTGATGCTCCGCGGCACTGGCCACAGACTCAGCGAGCTGGTGAAGATCTTGCTCCATCGGGGCTCCCATGAAGTTCAGCATCGGGGGCTCCCAGCCATTGCGGAACCGTGGAACATAGGGTGGAATAAATTGCTCCTTTGGCCACTCAGCTCTGCAGGACATTAAAACATATAAACGATATAATTTTTAATGTATCCACGCTCACCATTACCTTCAATAAGGAAAGCCACACACACATAAAAATCAAACAGACAAAAGCAACACATATGTAATCTGCCCTCCCTCCACCAAGGGAAAGCAACCACATTTACACTAGTATTTAATGCCGATAAAAGGAAAGAAGAGTGCACTGCGCTGCATAATCTGTTTTCACCACATTGCCTCAATTCTCCATTAAACACAACAATTTAACATGAGTACAGGTTTCTTAAATTCTGTATGGGAAGGGCCTGGGAAGCTAGAAGTGTGGTCAGTATTTGGAGCACAGACTTCTCTAGTATCCAGAGTAGTTTCAGATTCTCATCTTTCCCTCCCCCCACCCCCATCAATAGGAAACTCCCTGATATTACATGAATCTTTCAAAGAAGAAACAGCTCCACATGTTCTTAAGATTTATAATTTTTTTAATTATGGAGTCAATAACCAATTTAATAAATTAAATGTACTGGCTTGGTTTTAATCAGGAAAGTCACCTAATCAGTAATCATGATCATCATTACCCATTATCGCTTAATGACTCTGAGTGAGACTGACTTCTGCAGGCTCCTACTCATTCATGAACCACAAAAATAACTAGGGCAAAAATTATGGCTTCATTTTTGCTACATTATGTTGCTTTATCTTTCATACTTAATTCTTCATGTTATATTTCTTTTTTTTAATTTCAAAACATTACACGGGCATGTTTTTGGTTACTTGGATCACTTTTGTAATGCTTAAGTGAAGGCCATAAGTATGCCCATCACCCAGACACTGTTCACTGTTCACTGTCCACCATGATGAAATCAGCCATTTTATCCAGATCATTACACACCTTCATGATTCTTTTCTCCTTTATGAGATTTTTAAATCAGCCACTACACTTATTCCCTATAC